GTCTCACTGGACGTAGGAAAGATGCTGCAAGAAAGCCTGTTAGGGTTGTACTTAGTGATGATAGCCAAGCTGAGTATATATTTGAGGAACAACTAGGAATACACTGATCAGCATACATCAGAGTAGTAGCATACTGTGAAACCATGTTGCCTGTGAATGTGACTAGGTAAGGCAGTGCCACTGGTCGGTGTTGTGCATTGCACCAAGTGTTCAAGTGACACGGAACGCTGTGAGAATGTGCAGAGTGTCACCTGGTGGTTATGGTGTGACTGGAGTGATTGTGAACAGCTATGATGTGGGTGCGACTCGTATGGTGAGTCAACATCCTACTTAAAAATAACACCAGGCACTTATTCAATAACGTTGTCCGGCAGCAACCAGTTTGTCTAACTAAATTTCCTGCTCTCACTTGTAATTCTCTTTCCAACAACACAAAGCAAAACAACTTTCTAAGCGTGCAAACCATAGTTCACACTTTAGAGCATTAAATACAGGTAAAGCTACAGAGATGGCACCCATGGAATACACTTACATAAAAGGTTCAGTCAATTATCAAATAACATGATACCAAGAAATAATAACAACACCAATAACAATAAGCTCAGCATTGAAATATACAATATGAGGAATTAACAAATAACAACAATAAATACATACATGAGACTCACCGAATAATAAAACTGTCACTTTGGCTTTAAATATGCAGACTTTGTAGACAAAAATGGTGCATGTTCCAAATGTCACTGCGGCTGCTGCTGATGCTGCTGCGCTGCTGCTGCTGCTGCTCATCAACCAACTTTGTTCAAGCTAATTTCCTTTATATCTGATTCCAATGAATAATAATTATAAGAATAATAATATCATCCCGTTAACTGAGTATTTAAAGCAGGCTTAATCTTCCAGTAGAATTATCAGCTACATTATGCAGTTTCCAGTGTAGCATCAAGTAATCGCCGATAACATTCGGTGACCTGGAATGCTTTAACTAGAGAAGACGGTTGATAAATGAGCGTGAGCAGGGTCAGTGGAAAAAATAACAGTGTAAATAGATGTAGGATGAAGATGGATATGAGTGGGATAAATGGAGGTTAAAGTAAAAGAAATGTGCATTTCCTATCACTTTTTCTTGTGGTCGAGTGGTCTAAGGCGTTGGATCTGTCCTGCAGTGTTAATGGGCGCCGGATCGAGTCCCAACCACATCACAGTTGTTCACAATCACTCGACTCACAACATAACCAACAGGTGACACTCTGCACATTCTCACAGCGTTCGTGCCATTTGAACACTTGGTGCAATGCACAACACCGACCAGTGGCACTGCCTTACCTAGTCCCACCCACATCATAGCTCTTCACATTATCATCATCAGCTTTCTAATTTTTATTCTGTAGAAATATTATTCTAAAGCTTTGAAAGATTTTCTGGTTATCGTTTTTTTAGCGAGTTAGTTTTCTACGGGATGGAGTCGCTAACCCCATGCCCAACCCTCCTCCTTTATGCGGACTTGGGGCCGGCAGCAGCCCCCCGGAGGGACTCCAGATGGAGTTTAGAATTATTATTATTATTATTATTATTGAATTATTATTGAATTTAAATAAAAATGTATTAATTTTAATGTTTTCTTTCTGATTCCTTATCATATCTCCAATATATAATTTTATAATAATGTTATCATTTAACAGAGGTTTTTTTTAATATTATAGTAATTTGAATAGTTGAAATCATGAGTCAATTGAAGCTAGACCATTATGGAAAACCTGGAAGCACTGTGGTCATCTAGCATCAATTGACTCATGATCTCAACTATTGAAAGTACTAAAATCTCCACAAAACCCCTTCTTATATTAATCAACATAGTGACTGGCTTCAAGAGGTATTTCCTGGAAATCTAGTGAGAAGCAGTGACCAGTGGAGTTCAACTGGGTGTGTTGTGAGATAATAACTCACTGATGACAATGGTGGATGTGTCGTTTAATTTCATTTATTAGTTGAAGTTAGACAATTACACCGTTGGATATCGACCAGCTCAGTGGTCTAGAAGTGAAGCACAAGCGCACGACACTGATAAGTCCCGTGTTCGAATCTCGCGAGGTGGGATCGTGGATGCGCATTGCTGAGGAGTCTCACAATAGGACGAAATAGCTCTCCAATGCTTTCAGGTTTTTCATGGTGCTCTATCTTCAATTGACTCATGATCTCAACTATTAAAATTATCATCATTTAAAACATAATTTTTAATAGATCCATTTAAGAGTTATAGAAATAAAACTGTAAAACAATAATTCAAATGCACAGATTACGTAACAGAAGATAAATATCATTTTGATATGATGGAAAGAAAAGTCAATTTTCGATTGATTCACTCATTATAAGTTTTGTTCAAGATTAATTCCGTCTTGATTGAATGTAATGATTACTCAATGTAGTACTTGTTCTGTTTTTGCATATGACATTTTACTCTGTGTAATATACGATATTCTTGTATTTCATTGACATGAACTATGCTCAGTATGTGATTTGTTATGACTCTAAATATTTTTCATATATGTGATTTTATCCTAATTATTAATCGAAATGGGTGTACAATCAATATATGAGTGTATTTTCTACTAGTCGTCGTCGACGTCTTGATCGTGTTTTAGGGTTAATAAATCTTCACTTATACCAGTCTTTGTGTTCTTACTTTTCCGTCGTGAGAATTGCAGTGGTTCCTCGTTTTCACAAGTATACGTAATAAACGATTCCGACAAAATAATCAGCGACGACCAGATATAACAAGTAGGATTCAAGTGACAAACCATATCACATTTATCTTTAAATTTTACTCAATAATAAAAAAATAGTTTTTTTAGATTCGAATTAATTCAGCTGTGTACTATTGAATGGACTATGTCGAAATATTAGGTGGTGTTTGGAGGTGGTCAACGTGAAACACTGAACCTAGGTTTCGTTCTATTTAACACTTGTCAGCAAGATGTGCCTGTAACCTTGAGGTAAGTGATGCTCTCTGGTGGACACAATATACAAGACATTGGTCACTAGCCGGTGATCAATCAAATTATAAGACATGTCATTCCTGAATGAGGTCACTTGAATCGTGAATAACTCAATGGTAACGTTTTTGACTGTGAGTTGGTTGACACGAGATCTGATCCACCATAGATCATCCATTTCCTCAAGATTATAGACACATTTTGATGACGAGCTCCAGACAGCAATAAACCTAGGTCCAGGATTTCTTGTCGACTGCTCCCAACCATCACCTTACAGCTCAGAGAATACAACACCATTACAACATAACCAATGTAATCTTACTCAAGAATTATGTTAAAGAAACTGAAACACATTTCTTTGTCACTTATGTGACTCGTTAGTACCTTTGCAATAATCAGAAGTCTTGTTTTGAATTACTTAAGCTTGTGTTAGTATATATTCATAACATGATACAAGTGAATAAAGAATTTTTTTGATAAATCCTAATTAATATCTATGTGGTGTATGCTACTTTTACATGTCGAATTAAGTAGTATACAACATCAATCAAAAGTTGAATGACTGGCAGTAGAAGATTAAAAAGCACGAATTGAAGAAAACATAAATGAAAATAGAAGAGAATTGTGAATTCAAATAATCATACAGAATATAAAGTGTAAATCATAGAAATTTGTAAATGAAGTATTCAATGTATGTATTTTATGTTTTACCATCATATTGTACTATTATTATTACTATTATTACTATTATTATTATTATATAAACACATAAACAATGGTACAAGGAGGCACCAAAAAGATATGCTCCAAATAAATCATCCGATTTTTGTGAGAGCTGGAATAATGCTCGGGTTCCCAAACCGAAGCAGTTGGTTTTCATAGAGTGCCACACCCTGAGCCTTTGATTTAAATGTCTAATCCACAAGGCAGTCTAACAACGTAAGGAGATTCAATCCCATGGTAGCTGGTGACCAATAATAGATTCATGCGCTATTTGTTTCCTTAACATCCTCGATCCTATGTATACCATTGGTTTCGAACCAGGGGTATTCCAACTCCCCTAGGTGGACCCTTCATATCCATAATCATTTATTAAACAATAAATTAATTATCAACCACTTGTGTTTGGAACTAGAAAACAAGGCCCAGGACAGAGTGGGTTGGAGAATGCTGGTCGGCGGCCTATGCTCCATTAGGAGTAACAGGTGTAAGTAAGTAAGTAAGTAAGTAAGTAAGTAAGTAAGTAAGTAAGTAAGTAAGTAAGTAAGTAAGTAAGTAAGTAAGTAAGTAAGTAAGTAAGTAAGTAAGTAAGTAAGTAAGTAAGTAAGTAAGTAAGTAAGTAAGTAAGTAAGTAAGTAAGTAAGTAAGTAAGTAAGTAAGTAAGTAAGTAAGTAAGTAAGTAAGTAAGTAAGTAAGTAAGTAAGTAAGTAAGTAAGTAAGTAAGTAAGTAAGTAAGTAAGTAAGTAAGTAAGTAAGTAAGTAAGTAAGTAAGTAAGTAAGTAAGTAAGTAAGTAAGTAAGTAAGTAAGTAAGTAAGTAAGTAAGTAACCCACTGGTGTTCTCATTTATTATATATTTTTTTTACTAAAAGGAACTGATTTACTATTCTGTTTTTTTAATTTGTATAAATCATATGGTTCACACGTTAATTATTCGAACTGTGATTATGTATTATTTTTTTTCCTATTTAGATCATTGAATAATCAATGACTTGTTCAATCATGTGTAAATTGGATCCACTATTATTATTATTATTATATATTATTATTAGTTTAATTAAAAATGTTTGAAATCTATGTTAAATTAGGGCAAATTATTATAATCAGTATTTGTATACAATTATAAATTATTTAATTAAATATTAACTTGAAATTCATTGATTATTGAAAGTATATATTAATAATAATAATAAATAAATAAATAAATAAATAATAAACTGAATTGAGCTTCTTAAATGAGTATATAAAGTTCAATTCTATTCATTAACAATTCGCTGTTCATAGTTGTTATGGTAGATACATGTATTAAGGTACAAATTTGAAAAAAAAGGGGAAAGGGAATTAGTAAACATTTATTGATTAGTTTTCATTTATGATTCTTATGTTGATCGTTTTCTTTTTTTTCGGTTGTTGTTGAAAAGTTACTCTTGGTAACATTATGTCTACAAATCATCCCATATGAATGTCAAATTAATGTTGTTACTAAAGGTATGTATATTAGATATTTAATTTTTTATGTATTTTATTTGTAATTATTAATGATTAATTGAATTTTAAACATTGAATTATGGGTAGTTATTGTTAAGAATACTGTAGTTAGATAGTTGAGATCATGAGTCAATTGAAGCTAGACCATCATGGAAAACCTGTAAGTTCAATTTCATGAATTGGTTTAAGTTAGACATTAACACTGTTGGATACTCGATCAGTAGTTTAAAGGTTAAGCGTTCGCACGCAAGAACGATAAGTCCATGGTTTAGGTCTCATGAGGTGGGATCGTGGATAGGCATTGCTAAGGAGTCTCACTACAGGATGAAACGGCTGTTCAGTGCTTTCAAGTTTTTCATGGTGGTCTAGCTTCAATTGACTCATGATCTCAACTATTAAAGTTATTATAATATCCACAAGAAACCTCTTCTGATACTATTCGATATTATTATCGGTCATTTCTATAAATTATTAGTATATATTTTGTAATCATTAGAATAAAATGAACCATTATCATATTTTATACTGAAAGCTTACAAATTTATTTTGAAGATTAACACTTTTATAACAATAACAAAACATGAATTAAGTAGTTATCTGTTGCTTGTTATGACTGATAGACCATTAGATTGATTTCATTACCAAAATACAGGCTTTTCTTTAAATTACAGTGTACTTTATTTCTACATAGTTATAGTACATCATGATATGATATAAACTATTTACCCTGATATTGTATTGATATAATCAGTAATAATTGTAATGATTTGTTACTATTCGATATGAAACTTTATCAATAATTGTCGACGGAACTCGATCATGTAGGGTAGGGGATAGTTATCCATTTCAGGCAATAGAAAGTGTTCGTTGAATATTGTAAGTTGAAGTTAGAAACTAACACCATTGGCTTTCATCTCGATGGCATAGAGTTTAAGCATTCTCACTTGAGACTGAGGGTCCTAGGTCCGATTTCCTATGGCGGCGGTGTGGATGCCCGTGCTAGGACGAAACACCTGTCCGGTGTTTCTAGAGTCTTAATGATGGTTTAGTTAACATCGATTTATGACTTAAAAACTATAAAAAAAATACTTTTCTGCCTAAAGGAGTAATTTATCAAAATACACCTAATTTCATTGTTTTTTATTCATGTTTTGCTTTTCCATTTAGAAGTTGGTAACAGTGCTTTGTCCAATGAATCAACAAATACCTCATCAATTTCTAATCCCGTGAAATCAGTTTCACTTCATTTTTGTCGTTCAGCAAGAGGGATTAATCAGTCTGATCCGAACACTGGTAAGTGATTGTTCTTTCATTAATAAATTCATTAGAAAAAGTAACGAATATATAAAATAAATATTGTAATTTATCTTTATATCTGACAGTATTGTCAAATAACAAATAATTGAATTCATGAGTCGATTTAAGCTAGACCACTATAAAAAACCTGGAGACATTGGATGGCCGTTTCATCCTAGTATGGGGCTCCTTAGAAGTGCACATCCACGATCCCACCTCGCGAGACTCAAACCCAGGACCTATCGGTTTCGCGTGCGAACGCCTAACCTTTACCACTGATCCGGCATCCAACGGTGTTAATGTCTAACTTAAACCAATTCACGAGATTGAGCTACCATCCAGTGCTTCCAGGTTTTCCATGATGGTCTAGCTTAAGTCGACTCATGAATTCAACTATTAAATTACTAAAATATCCACAAAACCCCTCTCTGAATAAAATATTTATCATTCAAGGAAATTTATTAGTCAGATAGTAATAACATTTATTTGGAATCACCAAATATCAAGTCAAATAAAATATTACGGTCGACCATCCCTTCTACAGTTTGTAAACTAATAAATCAATAATTAGGAAGGGATAGTCCCTATAAAAACAAATCGTTTTGTGTTAGTTTGAATACCCTCGATATACACGACGTGAATTCAACCTCATAGTTACTACATAGTTGATAATGATTGGTAACTTAAAGACAACTACTGACCTTGGTACTCGTTATGTAGAAATTAGCTTTGTTATACCCCTACACGGTTATCTTCTAAGTTCTAAACAAATAAACTGTTATCACCGGAGCGAGTTTTTGTGGATATTATGGTGATTTAATAGTTGAATTCATGAGTCAATTGGTGCTAGACAATCATAGAAGACCTTGAAGCACTGGACAGCCGTTTCGTCCAAGTATGGGACTCGTCAGTTATTATATCACTTATGTGTGTCCTTGAGTTTGTGTAAATAATAGTACTGTGTCTATGTGATTCATGTATCTCTTTTGTGCTTGTAAATGCTGAGTTATTTATCATTTACTGAGTTGACTATTTCTGCCACTTCATTTTACGTGCATTTCTGTTAGTCTTCTATTTTTCTCATGAATCATCGAATGTTTGAAGTATGCATTCCACAAGTGATTTCTTATATGACTTTTCATATTTATGGTGTTATTAATGGGATTTGTGGATATACTTTATACGAAATACGTAGAATATATATTTTACTAACATCAATGTTACTCTATCGTTATGTAGACAACCATGAGGAATAAAGTCACATATTGACAATCAAATTGTAATATGACCACTTGTCAAAGTGAACCGATTTTACGGTAATATTTATCTAATGGTAACTTGTTTAAAGCGATAGAAAGCAAGCTTTGGTTATAGACTTTGTGCTAGTTGAGACTTGAAATAAAGGCTTATATGCATTTTTTAAGAAACTGAAGTTCTCCAGGTATTACATCACCAACTGTAACGGTTGGTGATGGGGTTTTAAATTCTGCTAAAAGCATTTGTCCTCCTTGGAATTAAAGTCTAGCTAGATGATGAGGTTCAACTACAGTAAAACCTGGATCCAGGGTTTCCATTTAATAATTTATAAATAACTAACATAGTAATTGATGTCTTGACTTTAGAAATTATCTAACAATCAACGAATACAAGGTTACTCTAAGATAATTTGAAGAAACATCATTCTACTCCATATATTTTCCTTGACTATTTCCAATGTAAACTATCAATTTTAAACTTCACACACAGAACTTAATTTTCAATTTATTCTGGAACTATGATTTTTCTTAAGGTAACTATTTACTATTATTGGTGAAAGATAATTAAGATCTTAATACTGAAAATGTTATGATCTATATCTTTTGGTCGACACAACTTGATAAGGTTTACCAATCAGAATCCTGTAATATTTTCTTATGGGATAAATTTACATTCTGACCATTGAAATAAAGTAGTACTCTTTAACCAGTTACACTTTCTGACCGTCAACAACTAACTTTGAGTTGAGTTTAATATGATCTTAACCCTTATTAGTTTAGGAAGGGAAACATAAATATTAGAAAATATATGAGTATCATGTACTCACAAGATGCATTTCGTGGAGTTCAAATGATAAGTCCTAACCAGTGGAGTTCAACTGCGTCAGTTGTGCGGCCGTTATTCGCGCAACACAATGGTGTACGGTCTTGCAATATCATGGATTGGTTGAAATTAGACATTAACACCAGTTGTCTATAGGTTAAGCGTTCACGTGCGAGACCGAAGGTCCTGGGTTCGAGTCCCTTGTACAGGACTGTAGATGCGCACTGCTGAGGAGCTCCGTACTAGGAAGAGACGATCGACCAGTGCTTCCAGGTTTTCCATGATGGTTTAGCTTAAATCGACTCATGAATTCAACTATTAAATGAATATTTGTTTCTTTTTTTATCTGACTAGTACCTAAGAACACAAGTGATGTTAGATGTAATATTCCAATTGCACATTTAACTCCAAAAGGTCATGAGCTTAAGTCTATATCCATTAATTTTGACGCTAAATGTTTACCGAAACCAAATCCATGTGAGTTAACTGAGTGTAAATTATATTAATTTATGCTATCGGAAACAAATTGATACATTAGTTATCGTTCTCATTAATTACAAATGATCTCTCCTGTTGAATTAAACGTAAATTTGAGATTCGATATTGTGTGGTTGTATATATTCAAAATAGTTAGAAATTAATTTAAAACATGTTTAAAAGTTATAATCTCAACTATACATAACCTTCACAGTGATTAGTAAGTAAATGTTATAAGATTTCACTATAGAATCCATTCAAGGATCCTATCTCAATAACCGAGTTATACACAGAATCTCATACAACAATGTGAGGGATCAGTTGAAAACCATTAATTCTTTGTCAGGGAACTAGAACATACAGGAACAGTATATTTAAGGTCATTTTCAGTGCCGTAATGGAGTGATTATAATCATTTACAAGTAGAGAAAAGAAAGCAGAAACGGAGAGCACATAGAAACAATAACGATAGTTATTGTGATAGGTCTACCGTTATACATGTACTAGGCTGTTTTATGATTTGCTGTTAGGGTTAAATATTATTCATATTAGTTTAGTTTACCAGAAACGATGTAAATGTAAAATATCTGAGGGTATGAAATTTTAATGAGTGGCTCAGTAATAATAGCGACTAAACATATAATATTCCTATAATTTCACTAGTGAAAGTTGAAAGCGATTTCAGAGGACAAGTAAATAAAGATACAAAGGACAAGTGGGCTAAATTACTTCAGAGTCCCGAAAATTTACCAGTAAAATAATTCATATAGAGAGAATGTGTTGAATAAGACAGATTCCGATTAGTGAAAAAGGATACATGAATAAACAGATAAATGTTGGACCACCATTGAAAAGCTGGAAGCAACGAACGGCCGTCTCGACCTATTATGGGACTCCTCAGTAGTGCGCATCTACAATTCTGCACATCGGACTCGAACCCAGGATTTTCGGTCTCATGCACGAACGCTTGACCTCTAGACAACTGATCTGGCATCCAGTGCTGTTAATGTGGAACTTCAACAAATCCACGAAATAGCGCCACCATCCTGTTCTTCCAGCTTTTCAATGGTGGTCTAATATTCATCGATTCATGATCTCAATCAAGAACTTAACAGTCTCCACAACGACGACTAACATGACCACAACACACAAACAATTAGAAAAATACAATTATACCCAAAACGGGATTAGGGAACGGAAAAGGGTATTTCAGTGAATCATACATCAAACGAAACATTATGGCTTATAGAATTAGCTAAAGGCGAAAATAAATGTTAGTGTTTTAGAAGCTTTGAATTAAGCAAAATAGTCCCTCCTTTGTTCACAACCACTTTTTTTCTAGTTCACTTTTTATGGTGATACTTTTTTTTATAACAAAACGTAGTATTGCAAGGTGAAAATGTCATCAAAGTTGTCGGACATTCACTACAATCAAATGTAATCAATATGAGAAATGAAACAAAATATCATTCAGCAAACATTACACATACAAAATATGATCAACCTGTCAATATACAAGCAGGTTAGTCACATCACTGATAACATTTCCATTTATTTCATTTTGTTATATGCAAAAGTTATTGACAAGAAAATTGAATCATAATTGCATTGGTAATATTTTGATCCAAATTACGTACATGAATGCAATTATCATAATTGTTATGTTCTTAGCTATACGATTATCGCGAGAATTATGATTGACAATTTAGATATATGATGACTTATACGATCAAACTAATGACGCATACACCACTATGGACAGCTTAGAAATCCCATTTGATTCCATTTACGTCTTGCCCTGTCAGTTCAGTCCAGAACACCAATAACACCTCCTACTATATGAATCATTTATTTCAGATATACTTCGCTTATATACAAGCAAAATCACGTCACAACACACCATACAATGAAAAATAACAATTGTACAAGATGTAGTCAAAAGTGGTTGTGATTGTGAGAAACTGTCATTGATACATGGAGAATATCTCGAGAATAGTGAGTCGTATGATAATAGTCAATAGATCAAATGGAAGCTTATAATGAATGGAATATGTGTATATACGTATAATGAAGTCAGTTAATAGTGATACAAGAAGGATATACGTATAATATTAGTCCATATGTATATCCTAACGGTTACCATTCATTTATTCTTGTTCAGATATAACAATATTGTCTTTAAATGATTCAGTTCAATCAATTTTTCTGAACAGTGTATCATGGAAAATACAAAATGTTGACGTAGACTTTATAGTGACTATAAGGAATAAATCTATCAAGATTCGACGATTATGCCTCATTGATAATTTTCGGCAGTTTTTCTTTACTACGTTTATGATGTATTTTGGTTTTTGCTTGTATTACAGGTTCACAATTCGATTTCCCTGTGGAAGTAAATCCTAAATCAGTTTTAGACCTCTATTCTGATATGAAAAAGAAGCGACTTGCAAAGCGAATCGTAAAAAGAAAAAAAATAAGATATGGTATGTGTGAGAGCTTAATATTATGTCAAATATTTGCTTTTCCGGGAGGGGGATTTGCAGAGGGATCTAAGAATCTTCATAGTTTAAATCACAAGCTGATCTTCGCTAGACTACATTTTTAAGTCTGGAAACATTGAACGACCGTTCAAATGTAGTATGGGACTCACCAGTAGTTTGAACTTGTGACACTACCACAAGGAATCAAACCAAGGACTTTCAGTCTCGCTCTCAAACGCTTAATCTCTAGAGCACTGAGTTAGCATCTGAGGGCGTACATGTCTAAATTCAATCAATCCACTCCTTCCAGGTTTTTAGTGATGGTCTAGCTGAAATCAGTCAGTGATCTAAGCTATGAGAATATTTACTTGTTAGATAACATGAATTTTATTTCATGTGGTATTTTTAAAAATCTGATCTTGAAAAATTGTCGGACAGTCACAACGTAGAACCTGGAACGAATGTACGCCGGTTCAAGTTCCCATACCGCACTAGCATCTAGAAAGTAGATCGAAGAGAACTACTGAGTAGTGAGCTGTTCCTCTAGTTGGAAGACAAATGTCTCACCTACGCCACAAGTGACATAAGTTGGCGAAAGCCAATCGAGCCTTCTGAATTTGTGTCGAGATTTGTCGGACACCAGACCATCAGCTCTGATGAGACTCCCAATATAAGTGAAGTGGTCTATGAGCCCAAATACTTTACTCCCTATCAATAACTTAGTATGATGACGCAAGCCAATCCTGAAGTAAAATTTTACATTTGGAATCGTAATGAATTCTGAACGTTTTTACGTTGTTACTTCACCACCAATGTGGTTTAACGCTGCCTTAAGATGATTGAATACAACCATAGTCGGATACCGAAAAGTATGTCTATGTCACAAAATCTGCTGAAGAGTGAATATTTAGTCTATACATTCATGTAAAATTCTGAAGCCAGCCTGGTTTCTTCAAGTTCGCTCTTCACAACCTGAATTTTGACGTAAAAGTATTATTGAGGTGAATATTCTAGACATCATGTAAGTTAAATTGAATCCTCAGTGATTATCATATGAGGATTTTTGTCCTTTGTTATAAACTGGGATTACGTCCAGTTCATTGATTTTGGCTAAGATTTCAGTTAATCTAATTTCGAAAACAGGATAAACATCCTTAAAAACTTCAGGTGTTAGTTCATCACTCCCTGATGCTCTTCCTTGTCTTAGATTACTTATAGCCTTCTAAACCTCACTAAGAGTTGGAGGACTGACATCTATTTGCTATTCAGATTGCTCGTAGTTAGCGCGTATGGCTGGAAACAGGTTTAACTGTTCCCCAAAGTGTCCCGTCCATCGGTTTAATCTCCTGGATTGAGAGTGAATAATGACCTCATCTTTTTCTAAGATAGTTTCATTAACAGAGGGATTTTTTAAACCATTTTTCTTGATAAGTCTGAACAGTCATCTACTATTAACCATTGCTGCTGTATTTTCCATCTCTTTTGCTTTCACAACCTACCGCTGCTCACGATCAATACGTAGGCCTTTTGCTAATCTACATTTAAGCTGCCTCCGCTTCTCATCGTGTTCGGAGCCAGGCGGGATGAGATTCCGAGCATCACTCATTTCAGTGGATTTCAAAAGAACCTACTGATTTGTTCCAACCTTTTAGTTTAAGTTAATAGTATATATCATTGCTGTTTCTAAAGCTTTTTGGATATCATACCAATTTACCTTAGGGTGGATATCATTTTCACGGTTGACTAGCTACTTCTTTAATTGTTCTTGAAATATATTTTTAGCTTTTTCTATAAAATTCATCCTTAACTTCGTCCAAGTTGCAATCAATGGGAGCGTAGGTAGAGACAAGGAAAACGCGACGGTGTGTGTTTCTATCTTATCGAGTTCTTACTGTCCCGTTTAGTTGAATAGTGCAAAAGTGACTGTCTATAGAAACCCAGTCTAAAATAGCCTGTTCTGTTGTAGAACCTAATGCTATACCTAAACTAGTGAGACCATGGAAAGCTGTAGTGGGGTCTCTGGATAGTCGACGGGTAAATCGTGAGGGTTCTTTATAGTGACAAGGTAAGGTTAAATGAATAACTGTACGTGGATGCTGTATACGCGTTTCGGGGTGCAGCATGTACATATGGCGCAAGATTATACAGTTTTAGCTAAAGAAACCCGTTTTCCTATCGGAAATAAAGTATGAATATTAAAAGCTTCAACATATACTTCGGAGAGTAGCTTCAGAAAAACAGGAATGATATTTCGTGAACTTAAATCATTAGCATTGGTGGTTTATGGTGATAAACATATGTGCTAGGGAATAGTCATAGGGGATGGAAGAATTCTTAATAAGTGAGGGAGAGATTCGATCGTCAACAATATGATCTCTGGTGCTGACAGAAGTATGAGAGCGGTTTTCATTTACCGCTTGCCCATATTATGGAACATTAATTTTTCTTGAAGGACCTGAAAAAAAGTTGAATAAGTAGTGGTCTTAGAAACCTGGGGGTGTGGCAACAGAACCCAAAGGATGACTACTTGAGGCTGGTCGCGAATTGAT